ACCTAACTTGTCCTCCTCCCCCTCCTCCTCCCCCTCCTCCTCCTCCTCCTCCTCCTGCTCCTCCTCCTCCTCCTCATCCTCCTCCTCCTCTCGCTTCGCCTTCTGCTCCTCCTCCTCCTCCTCCTCCTCCTCCTCCTCCTCATCCTCATCCTCCGCCTCCCCGTCTTCCTCCAGATGCCCCTGGAGACCACACAAGGGGACATGAAACACCCCCAAACGATCCTCAGTTCTTTCTCTCTGCCCGTCCTCCTCCTCCTCCTCCTCTTCCTCCTCCTCCCCCTCCTGCTCCTATTCCTCCTCCTCTTCCGTCCTCCATACCCTCCCTTCAATATCCTGTTCGTCCTCCCTGTCCTCGTCCCCTTCCTCTTCTGCGTCCTCCTCCTCCTCCTCCTCCTCCTCCTCCTCCTCCAAGCGAAGGCACCCGTGCCAAGGACAAATCCCACCAATCCTCTGGGCGTGGGTGGCTTAGCTTAGCGATCTTCCTCCTTCCGATCCCCCTCTCCCCCCACGGGGAGGAACGATCTCTCTGCTTCTTGCAAATCACCCCCCCCTCCCCCATCTCCGCTGGCCGCCGACCCGTCACCATTCCACTCTCCCCCCAAAACTCCCTGTCACACAACTCTACAAAACATGCACGTCGCGTCAGTGTCTTGGGCCACGCATGGGCTTCCCGCAGTCGCGCGGCAAGCTGCTCGACAGGGGGGGGGGGGGCGGGGACGTCAGCTTGCTCGATCTGCACAGGCCCACAACCCCGCCTTCTGCGCTAGAGGGGGCAGGGGTCCTCCTCCTCCTCCTCCTCCTCCTCCTCCTCCTCCTCCTCGAGACACAGATGAAAAGTGATTGCGGGTGCACAGGCTTCCTGTCATATGCTGCGCACCCCGCCGCCGTGCTGCATCGGCTGTCGACAGGGATGCCCGTGGGGGGCCGACGTGCGCACCTGGCGCACGGGTCGCACCCGGCGCGCGTGGGGCACGCGCCTGGCGCAGCAGGCGCGCCTGGCACGCTCGGGCCCCCGGGGCGCCCGCCGCACCTAGTGCGCGTGGCGCGCTCAGCACGCGTGGCGCACCGCGCCAGCTTCGCGCGCCTCTCGCCATCGCTCGGACGTCCATTCCCTATGTTTTTGTTCGGCTTCGTGCGTGGGTTTTTCGCCGAATGATCAAGGATGCTCCTCGATGGTCCTCGCCGAAGGAAACATGCACACGTCCGAGCGGTGCCAAGGCCTGGGCGCCTGCGCTGGCTCCCAGGCGGCTTCCGTGGTGGGACGGCGGATGGGAATCACCGGGGCGGCTGGCGGCCTGTGGGTGGCGGTCTGGAAGGGGGGGAGGGGCCCCGGCTGGTCAGAGGGTCCAGGAGGGCCCGGGATGGCCCGAGATGACCTCCAGAACGGCAGAGCCTAGCTCGACGTGGCTCGGGATTACTTCCAGCATGCCTCCGAGAAGCCTCGAGGCCGCCCCAGGAATGCTCCACATGTCCACGGAGCCTCCCAAGGGCGCCTCCGAGAAGCGAACATGCTTTCGACACCTGTAGGGATTCAATGAACTGTACCATCTCGCCTTGTTGCGTTCGATGCTCCACCGCCGTGCCGCTGGGCACGGAGTAGGCGTGTCCTGGGGCCCTCTGCCCAACCCCCTGAGCCCGGCCCCTAATTTCGAAATCTACGAAGGCTTTTCGCGTGCCCTCTGGGCTCCCCCGCGGCTTCCTGCAGTAGTTTCTCGGGCCCGCGAGGGCCCCGAGAGGCCCCGAAGACTCTCCAGGAGGGCCCCGGTGCGCCCAGAGATCCGCCCAAGACGCGCAAGATGGCCCCCCAGACGGCCCATGAGGCCTCCAGGACGCCCTAAGGCGCCTCCAAGAGGACTTCCGAGAGCCCAAGAGGCCGAAATCATGGATTTTCCATCGGTATTTGAAGGTTTGGGGCTTTCTCGCCTTTTCTGCTTCCCGACGCTCTCAGACGGCCCCAGAGGGCGCCAATCGGCTCAAAAGGAGGGCCCCAACACGGGCCAAGAGGCGCCCAAGACGGGCCAAGAGGCCCCAACGATGGCTCCAAGAGGGGGCCCAGATGGGGGACCCGAATGGACATCTCGAGCCCTCGGCCTAGATGGGGCCCCCAGGAGGCCTCAAAAGAATCCCAAGAGGCCCCAAAGAGCCCCCAAGAGGCCACCAAGAGGCCCCAAGAAGCCACCAAAAGCCACAAAGAGGATCCCCAAACTATGAAAACTGGCCCCAAGAGGCCCCAGAGAGCGCTCCGAAAAGACCCCGAGAAGCATACCTGAGAACTCCCCGGCACAGTGGCGGGATGGGCCGAAGGCCATGAGACAAAGCGAGGCGTCAAAGTTGCTCCAAGATCGACCAAGTGAGCCCCAAGAGAAGCCCAGGAGGGTTCCAAGATGGCCCAGAACGCGCCCCAGCGCCCCAAGAGACGATTTGAGCGCTCCGACGGGGGTGGCGCTAATTGAGAACCCCATGTTGGATCGATGTCCTCCAAGGTGATCCCCCAAGAGTACCCCCAAGAGGGCCCCCGAAGGGCTCCGCGTGTCACAACAACATTGCTCAAAAAGGTGCTAACGATAGCCCCAACAAGCTCCAAGAGGCTCCCAGAGCTGAGACTCGCGAAGGCCTTGATGGTTGACACCTCCCGTCGTCGTCATCGTCGTCGGCGTGACCTTCGTCCTCCCCAGTCCTTCTCGTTGCCCTTCTTCCTCCTCCTCCCTCCTTCTCCCTATCGCTCCTCCTCCTCCTCCTCCTCCTCCTCCTCCTCCTCCTCCTCTCACCTCAGAGCCGGGCACACTTGTCCTGAACACTTGCAAGTGCTTTAAGGATAAGGTCAATTATTTTGGGAATGAGGCTCTCGCATTAGCGCCGCGTGCACTCGTCTTAAACAGTCTCATATGTTACTAAGAGGAAGTTCTAGTGGTTTACAAACAGAACCTAACGCAATAGCGCCGCGCACATTCGTCTCAAAAACCTGCAGCAGTTTCAAGGATGGAGGCTGGCTCGTGTTCAAGATGGGGTCCCGCCTAAGAGTTCCGAGATGAACAACCAGCGCTTGAGTCGATGTCACAGATGCACGTGCGGCGGGCGGTTCCTTTCCAGAATAGAGCCTTCGCGGAAGACCTCGGAAAACCTGATGGCTGGTATCGTGGGGCACTTGAGCAATTGTGCTACTCTTGGGACCCTCGTGGGCCCTCTTTGGGGCCCTCTTGTGGCCCTCTTTGCTGCACCCCTGGGGGACCATCTTGGAGGACATAGATCAAAAAGGGGAACTTCTAATTTTAGAACACACACTTGCCTTTAAATACTTGCAAGAAGTATTCGGATGAGGACCGATGGTCTACGTTGTACCATGATATTCTCGCCATAACGCCGCGCACACTCGCCTTGAAAGCTTGTGACAATTACTAAGGTGGGGGGGGCTTGTGGCTTTCAACAGAAGGCCGTCGCGGTAGCGTCGCGAATCTCCGCTTTTAAGCTGGCAACACTCACATGGACGCAGGCTGGTTTGTGCTCAGGATGGGGGTCTCACGTAAGATGCCACAGATAAAAAGACTTGAGCTTGAGTCGATGTGGCAGGTGAGCGTGCGGAGAGTGCGGCTCATTCCCAAGACGGAGCCTTCGAATCAGACCTCATACAGTAGGGGCCCGACCACAAGAACCTGTCCACGCAAAGCCCGACCCTGAGACCCCAGGGCGCCCATCGATCTTTGACGTGGGAACGTGGCGCTTTCCATGGCGAGGCCATCGAAACCCAAGAGACACCCAGGGCACCCTGGAGGCGAGGCTGTTTCTTGGCACGGGCCCCCGCTGAAAAGCTCTGACTCAGAGTCGACGGTGCGCCGCCGACGCATCGGCGATGGGGCCCCCGGTGGCGAGGCCGACAGGCCCGACTTAACGCTAGAAGGATGCATGGCAGCTCTCGTTGGAAAGGGGCGTATCCTGCAGCGAACAGGAAGCCTGCACGGACTTATGAAGAGGGGGGTCTTGGGGCGGAAGGGCGTCTTGCAGCATCGCTGATGCGCGAAGCAGAACTTACTGTGGGCCCTGGCAGGGCGTTCTCTCAAAGAGGCGGCGCCGGCACATTGTAACGCGTGTCACCAAGAGGTGCGCAGGGGTACGTGTTGTTGCCATGTCTCAACTGCTCCTCGGGGCGACAGCTGGTAAGCATTCACGTCGGGAAACGCGCTGCTTCCTGCACGAGATTTGCGCGCCAAGCAGCTGCACGCCGTCAGTCTCGACTCATCATCACACCTAGCGCGACGCAAGCCTCCGAAGCAACTCAACCACGTACTCCAGATTTCGTAAGCAAGGGAGGGGGGTCTCATTTCGGGGGGGGTCTCTTCCAGGCTATCTTGGAGGGCCTGGGGGGTCTGGGGACGATGCTTTGGAGGGTTCTCCCACGGGGGAGGTCTGAAATGGCTTGTCCTCGAGGGTCCAGACCCCCTCCCTTTTATCACGAACTCTGGAACGGCGTGGGGGAAGCGGGTCCTGACGGAAACAGGTCCTGGACCCTGGGGCCTTTAAAACAGGGCTAGGATCGGGATAAATCGCTCCAGAGCGTTCCAGAGCGCTCTCAGAGCGTTCCGGAACGCTCTGGAGCGGCCGCGGCGCCCAATACATCCTCCAAACCCGCCGATTCTCAGAGATTTCGAGTTATCCCGATCCGATTTTGTCCCGATCTTCGCGTCGTTTTAGCCTTCACCCCCCCCGACGAGACCTCCATCCCGCGCCGTTTCCCGACAGCCCCGGGGGCCCGCGCGGTGCCCCGAGGGTCCGAGGACGGCGAGAGGCCTCGGGACACGCCTCCCGCTGACCCCCCCGAGCGAGCACCGGAGCGGCTGTCGACGCACGGCCCGCGGGGCGAGGAGGAGGAGGGGGAGGAGGGGGAGGGGGAGGAGGGGGAGGAGGAGGAGGAGGAGGAGGAGGAGGAGGAGGAGGAGGAGGAGGAGGAGAAGAAGGAGGAGGAGGAGGAGGGCAAGCACGCGTTCCCCTGGCAGAGGCGCGCTCGCCGCCCAGGGGCCCGCCTCGCAGGTGATGCTCCTGTCTTCGTCGATCTCGATGAGGACGTTCCCCGTGCAGTGCGTCACCTGGGGGGGGGGGGCCAAGGGGAAGCGAAAGAGGGGCTGGGCGGGCGGGGGCGCGCGGGGAGACACCACGAGCAGATTCTGCGAGGGCTTTCCCGCGATACACAGGCAGCAAGGGGAAAAGGACGGAGGAAGGAGGTGGAGGAGGAAGAGCAGGAGGAGGAAGAGGAGGAGGATTTGTTTGACGTCAACTCCAAAGCATGAATCATAAATTATCGCCACGGCACAGGCTCCACCGTGAACCCTGCATTCGACGGGTGCCGACCCTTACGAATCACTTTGGAAGTTTCGGTCTTCTTCCTCGTCGGTGGCTGGCATCGCTGAGCTTAGCCTCGAATGTATCCCAGCGAGCCGAACGAATGGCACCTCAGACAAACAGTCAGGAAGTTATCTGAAACCTGGAGCGACACAGCATTATGCCCCAGCGCTCTGAGATTAGGCCCGTCCAGCTTCGACTCGTTAGGACACGAGCCTCCAGGCATCACGCGGCTCTTGCGCGAAATCAAACAGTGCTGGCAGCACCAAAAAGGTGAAGCGACCAAAACCCTCGCGTTTCTCCGATGCCCAGGCGTGGGGCCTGGGAGGTGGCGAAGGATCCGCGGGCGGAGGCACCCACGGGCAGTTAGTTAAATCGAGAGGCGGCCAGAGCGGCAGCAACTTCGCCGCGAGCTTGCAAACCGCCTTTGCGATTCCAATTCGCCAGTTGAGAACACACTCCTAGGCCTCCGAGGGTCGGGGGTGAAGAGTCGCCCCCTGCTTGGCAGCCCGATCTGCCAGATCATTCCAAAGGTGCCTCCAGCCCTCCTCAGGTGAGATGCCCGCTTCCTGCGGGTCTTTGTGAGCATCCTCCTTCACGACGGCATCGACGGACGACTCCCCAAGACGATACATCATCATGAGCCCTGCAAACGGGCAAGGGTAGCTGAGCTGCGCAGCCTTATCCCCAGCACAGGTGGAGATCACATTCGCACAGTCACTGAAAAACGTAGAGCGCTGCTCGGCAGGAAAAGCGGCCTCGCCAAGACGGCGAACTCCACCGCCGGCGTCAGCGCCAGGACGTTCTGGACGCGCACTGCCGGAACGTTCTGGTGAACTTTTCTGCTGGAGCGTTCTAGTGAACGTTCTGGTGCCATCGTTCATGACCACGACTCCTCCGCGGGCGAGAGCAGCGAATTCAGCGCACTGCGAGGTCTGGATGAACGGAGCATGTATTGCCCGTAGATGTGGCACACCCTCTCCCCAGCAGGATCGACCTTGACAAGCCCATACCCAGCTCTCGAGAGCTCGGCAATCTCATGACGGAAGCAGCTGCCGCCAAGGAAGATGTTGCCCGAAAACGTGCCACCGTCCTGGGGGGCTCAACCCAATCACACACAGCGTGAAAACCTTCATCAACTAACTCCCGAGACGGCCTAGGGAAGACGTCCCCAGGGTGGGGAAACACTCCCCTGGAGTAAAGCAACGCAACCTCGGAGTCGGAGAGATCCGCGTCAGCGGCTTCATCGATTGAACTCTGACTGACCGTTTCTGCACGCAAGGAAACTACAGCAGGACAACACCACCGGCGGTGAAACCCCACGTCACCGCAGAGACCGCAGAGCTCGCATCGATTGTCGACTAGCCTGTATGAGCTTGATGGCCCGAGCATGCGTCCAAAGAGCTTCGCAGACCAGGCTCCTGATCGATCCCGTCTCCTGAGGAGTGAAACGCGAAGATCGGAGACGATTGCGGACGACGTCGAAACACAACCGACCGCTCGGTAGGCCCTGGTTATTCGAAGCCTCTCGCTCTAGAGCTCGCCGACAGGCCTGCTGCAGCATTTTCTTCAGCATCGCGGGAGAGACACTCGTCAGCAACAGCGACTCTCCGAAATCATGTACGATGGTCACGAGATCTGTCATAGACCACTTGATCCGCTTTAAATAGAGACGCATGGCGCTGATGGGGCCACCAACTTCGCGCCACGACGGCTCCGCCGCCGTGAAAACCGTCTCCCAGCTGAGGCGCATCAGGTCCCACGGGAGCGTGAAGGGGTAGGCGCCCGTCTGGAGCGCCCAGATCTCTTTGGCATACCGAATCACGGGGGCCACGGCCCCAATCCAGGTGGGGTCGTCATTAATGGAGGTCAGCGAGCGTCCCCGAGCCCCCGGTCTCTGAACGCGCCCCGCCTCACGGCGGATTCTCGCCAGCTCGAAATCCGAGAGCCCGTGGACCTCCGCCCCGTACAAGACCCCAGGGAGGGCCCCCCTCTTTGGCGGCGCGCACAAGGGGGTAGGGGGAGGGGGGAAGGCTGGAGGAGGAGGAGGAGGAGGAGGAGAAGGAGGAGACGGAGGAACAAGACAGGAGGAGGAGGAGAAGGAAGGGGAGGAGGCGAAACGCACAAGAGAGGCAAGGCTGGAATAATCGTGGAACCCTCGACCGGACGTCCACCAAAGCGGGCGGCAGTTCGGGCCTGCTGGAGACCAGGCGAGCGAGGCCGTGGCCTTGAAGAGTACGGCCGTGCATGGTGGGGTAGATGTGCGAGAGACGGGCAGCAGCTGTGTGAGACGGAAGGGGGGGAGGGAGAGGACTCCTTGTTTTCGGGGTCGTGATGTGTCGGTGGTGCTATGTGGTTCGGTGGGCGTGTCGTCGATGGTGATGCTGTGACTAATGGCTTCTTGGCATAGGTCTCCACTGTACAATGCCCAACATAAATGTTCTCCTACAGCAACAGCGGCCGCTGTTGGGCAGGCGGCCTTCTGTCTCAGATGGACACAGGCCGCGGCGACGCCGACAGCGAGTCCTGCTTAAAATGCGCAGGAACTGCTGTCGGTCTTTGTGCCCATTCTCTTCGTACTCATTACGATCGTCCCGACCAGAGGCAGGGGGCCTTGCCGTTGACCGGGCCCAGCAGCACGAGCGTGTCCTCATTCTTCCCCTGCCGCGCCCCACCGGACGCCACCGATCGCGCAGCAAAGGGGCGCGGCACGCGGCTGGGAGCTCTCTGCCCCGGTCTCCCCTCCTGAGCGCGAGCTAAACGTCAAACTTCATCTCCTCCTGCTCCTCGCCCTCCTCCTCCTCCTCCTCCTCCTCCTCCTCCTCCTCCTCCTCTTGCTCCTCCTCCTCCTGCTCCTCCTCCTCCTCTTCTCTTTTTTCGGTGGCACCCCGAAACGATCCTGGTGTTTTTCCATGTCGTGTTTGCTTTCATGCTCCTTCGTCATGTCTTCGTTTTGCCTTTACTGCAAAAAATGAAAATGAAAACGAAGACGGCCCACGAAATCGGCAAGACACTGTCTAGCTCAAGCCCTTTGCGAACAGATCTGTATCCGCGCGCTCGCAGTCTGGACTCTGGGGCGCGATCCCGGGGATGCGCGGTCGCACGGAGATTCGGAGGCAACTACTGGGAGGTCTTCGTCGGAAGGACTAGGAAGAATTCAGGATTAAGCAGCGGATCCAGCGGGACTAAGCCGGAACAAACAAGATTAAACCGGATTGAGTCGTGCAGGGCATCCGCGAAAAAAACGCCCCATATCTGCGGGGTCAGGGCCCAGGAGGCCTGGTCCGCGAGGCCGCGGACACGCATGCGTATTTCGCCCACGACTTTGGGTGACTCAAAAGGGAGTCCAGCTGGAAGGGGGTGGTGCAATAGATTTGGAGCAATTGAATTGCACATGTACTGTCCAGAGAACTGTATCGCATTACACTGCAAATAATGCATTGCACGCGAAGATGCAGCAATACATTTGCACCCCCGGAATGCATCGCACGCCCCGAATGTATGGCAAGCCCACAAATCTGTTGCACTAAACCTATCGCACCACTCCCTTGTCGCTGGACCCCCTTGTTGGTCAACCCGAACGATCCTCGCCGCCGGGGGCCCACCTCGACAGACGAGCGACGGGACAGACGGGCCGGACGTCCTCCAAGGCTGCGCGTTCCCTCCCTCGGACGCCCTCCCCCGGAGGGAGGACGAGGGCAGGCGAGGAGGACGAGGGGGAATAATCGAATCACGAACACGGCAGAAGCACGAGTTCTCCGAGCGACGCGCGGATTCATTGGGTCGGCGCTGGATCTCCCCGGCGGCGCCTCTCGCCGCTCGAGGCCTGGCGACGCCTGCTGCCCTTCGACTCCCGCAAAGCACTGGAGTGCAAACCCGACTTTTCGGGCGGGTGGCCCGGCAGCAACGTCCGGAGGTCCGCACCGACTTCCTGGATCTCACCAGCCTGGAACAGATCCCTATATCCCTATGCTGGGCATCTCCTCGTCACGATGCCAATCTCAGGGATTCCCTTTTTTTTTTTGCGGGCGCATCCCTGAGATTGTCATCGCCTTTTGGCGTGTCAATCCCAGGGATAGGGACAAGTTCGAGGCCGGCAAGCATCGGCGCCGGGCCGCTCGGAGCGGCGCTGCCGACGCGGGCCCCGGCGCGCGGACCTCCGAGAAGCCATGAGGATACCGCTACGTGTCTCGCGGCGGCCACGGCTCGCCGCGTCGCAGCTCTCACGCGCGCCCACTTTTTGGGGGCCTGGAGATGGGCACCAACACCAGCACAGGGGCTTGCCTCCACATGGGGAAAATGATCCTAGATGTCGGTGTTGGTGGTAATATTTCGGTCGCCTTGGAAGCCAGAATATTACCACCATCGCCGAGATCGGGATCTTCTTGCCTCGTTGGAGGCACACCGCCGAAATTGGTGCTGGTGTCAACCTCTAGGCCTGCGACACTTTGTCTGATGACCACGGCTTGCTGCGCGGCTCGCTGCGTCGCGGCACCTGTGTGGCACTCCATGTGCGCCGAGTCCCTCTGCGAGGACCTCCCCACACACGCTCGCCGGGCGCCCTCGCGCTGCCGGCCTTTGGCCCGTGCGGTCCTCGAGCTGCTTGGTCGCCCATTACCCGATCAAGACCTTCCCCTGGGAGGAGGAGGAGGAGGAGGAGGAGGAGGAGGAGGAGGAGGAGGAGGAGGAGGAGGAGGAGGAGGAGGAGGAGGAGGAGGAGGAGGAGGAGGAGGAGGAGAGGGGAGGAGGAGGAGGAGGAGGAGAGGGAGGAGGAGCAGGATGAGGAGAAGGAGGAGGAGGAGGAGGAGGAGGAGGAGGAAGAGGATTAGGAGGAGGGGGAAGGGGGAAGCTGGCCCGGGCACCCCGCGGCTGGATTGCGCAGCCCGCGCGTCCTCTCGGCGGCACCCCGTGCGAAGGTCTGCACGATCCGAGCGGCCCCGTCCTCGCCCTCGCGCTGCCTCCTCTCCTCCTTCCGTGCCCGACGCTCTGCTTCGCCGCGCCCCGCCTCTGGCCCGACTGGCGCGTGACCTCTGGCCGAAAGGTGGGCTTGGAGAGAAGATCGCTCCAAGCGGCCCCTGGAAAAAAGGAAGCGCGTTGTAGGGGGGCATCGGGCTGGGCCCGCTCCCCAGCCCCACCCTGGGATAACCCTCCCTCTGCGGGGGTAGACTTAAGAGTGACCCTGGGTAAAGGTGACCTTCGGTGCGCAGCTTTTGGGGGCGCGAGGGAGCCAAACCCAAGGGCGCGGGCCGCTTATATCGCATCGCGCTCGGCGATCGGGGGAGCCCGATGAGCCCGCACCAAAGGTCACTCCAGCGACGGGTCCCTCTTACGTGTAGTCGAATCTACGACCCCCCACTCTTGACTGTCGACACCTGGGGGGCCCGAGCACGGTCTCTGGAGGCACGCCCGAGGACAACGCACACCTCCCCGACCCCAGAATCAGGTCGGGCGTGTCCCCATCCAGGCGGATTTGGGACGAAAACTCAAACATAATTTCAAGACAAATTATAAATTAGCCAAAACTGCGCAAATAATCGTCCCCATATTATTTTGCTGCTACGTTTAGATACTCCTCCTGTAGAGGGACACCCCCGTGGACGGTTTCTCCCGGGGCCGTAGTCGACCCGTGGAGGGGAGGGCGATGAGGGCGAGGAGGAGGAGGAGGAGGAGGAGGAGGAGGATGGGGGAGGAGGAGGAGGAGGAGGAGGAGGAGGAGGAGGAGGAGGAGGAGGAGGAGAGAGGAGGAGGAGGAGGCGGAGGAGGCGGAGGAGGAGGACGAGGCGGAGGACGAAAAAGGGGGAGGAGGAGGAGAGAGGAGGAGGAGGAGGAGGAGGAGGAGGAGGAGGAGGAAGAGGCGGATGGGGAGGAGGAAAGAGGAGGAGGAAAGAGGAGGAGGGAAGAGGAGGAGGAGGAGGAGGAGGAGGAGGGGGAGGAGGAGGAGGCTCGCTCGCTCGCAATCTGCGCATGGCCAGGTTTCACAATTCGTGAATCGAAGTTGGCCGCAGGGGGTTCGGGAATCACTATGCCCCCGCCGATGTCAAAACGCAAGGGGAGCCCCTCCCCCAGCAATCAGCTTGGGGACTCCCTGATTGCAGCACAGGGTCGAGAGGCCTGTACGTGCATACGCAGACAGCATCTCGGAGACGCAGAGAGGACCAGAGAAACAGCGGCGGCAGCCAGGGGCGGCGGCAGCAGAGAACGAGAGGGGGAGAGAAAAGGCCAGCCAGGCCCCAATACCTAGGCTGGGGTACCGAGGGGGGAGTAGACGAGGTTCTGACATCGCTCGAATCCCCAGCACATCCACCAAAGACTGCATTCGAACGAACTACTTACCCCTAGAAATTCCAGACCCTTTTCCCGCGGCCTCTATGTCGGCCTCGGCCTGTGGGGTGGGTCCCACTCACCCTGAAACTGCGCCAGTCCGCGCTCAGAGATCGAACCTAGGGCCCGCCGAGACTCCACTTGGACTTCTTGTGGCGGACCCCGCGAAGCATTTCCCCAGCGAGTTCTGAACTCGGCGCTCCTGGGTGGTTTTCGGTGGGGGACGCATCTTCGGCGTGCTCCCGAGGGCCATGAACAAAGCTGTGGGAACCGAATTCAAAGGAATCATCAGGCCTCCAGGTCCCTGCACCCACGAGTTGACGAAGAAGGTGTGGCGGACGAGAGGCGATGCTCCTTCCTTCACGCGCGCGGTCTTCGCTTTCCAGTAGCGGAGCGTCTTGCATGCCACGGCCATCGGCTGCACCTTCACGTGCTGGATGAGCTTCGTCACTGACTGCATGTGCTCCTGCAGGTTGGGGCTCTGCTTCAGCGTCTCCTGATTGACCAGCGCCTCGAGAACCGCCAAGCTCACCTGCAAGCTGGGAGGGCCAAGTCCGTGGTCCGCGGGCTTCTCCTTCACCACGTCTGCGTACTTCTGAGCGGCCCCGATGGCAGCAAGGCTGATGCCGCGTTCTTTCGGCAGCACGTGCGTGCTGAAGAAGCGTCCTTCGACTGCTCGCTGACGCTGTGCGTGGTTGAGAACTCCTTTCATCATCTCTGTCGCAGTCTCGCCATCCGTGTCGCTGTCCTCCGCCATGGCCGTGTCGGCTGCCCCCCTGGGGGAGTGCTGGCGACGGCTCTTGGGGTCGCGCGGCTCGTGCTGCTTGCCGCTGCCTCCAGCGCTGAACGAGTTCGTCTTGGAATCGGCAAGGCGCTTCTTCGCTTGGTCCAGCTCCGTCTGGCCGACTGGCATCGCCCGCGACATTCGCTGCGGCGAAGGAGAAGGTGGCGTCGGATAAATCTACATGTGTGCGTACATGCCTCTGTAGAGCCTCGAGCGACGGACGGTCCTTGCTGCGAGCTGGGCACTCGAACGTGGGCGGTAAGATCGGCTCGCGATGAATCGGGGATCGGTCGCGTTGACAGCTGCGCTTGAGAAATAGACGTCGGACGTGCTGACGGGAGATCGCGACGGTCGGGCGTGTGCTCATACACCAAGGGCACTGATTCGTGACCGTGAGGAGCTGAGAAAGGGGCCGATGACCGTGGCTGCCCTCCGTGCAAAAACGCATGTGTGCGTACCAGCCCTGTTGATCATGAAACTCCAGCCCGCGCTTAGAACCATCTGCGTTCGTCTCGGTGCATCGCCAAACTCGGGGAGGGGGTACTGGGTCAAGATCGTGCTGTTCGCCTCCTCCTCCTGCTGTATCAACTCTTCCACCACCCTCCACCCGCCTTCTACCCGTCTCATCGATCTCCTCCTCCCAGAACCTGTTGCGGAGCTTGCCAAAGTTTAGTTTGTGAAACCTCGTGCTGAACTCGTCGGTGAAAACTTCCAGACGCATGTGTCCCATGGCGTTGCGCAACTCGGGGCCCTTTTCAACGTGCACCAAAAGCTTGAAGTCGTTGAGGGCTTGAAGGGCCCAGGGGTTCCCGCGAACCTGACCGGCGTCGTCCCGAGTCAGGAGACCATTTTCACAGGTAGTGTATGATTCGCCATGCATCTGCCCGAACGCTGCCAACAGTTGTTTGGTCTCAGAGCGGTGAGCCGCAATCTCTCGAAGCCAGCGTAGCCGTCGAATGCGGAGTTCTAGCTGCGAGGGAACTAGGCCGAGTTTTGTCCGAATGCGCACAGCCGAGAGCGAAATGTGCTCGATGGTGCCGTCGGCTTGCGGGATCTTCAAAACTGCGGCACCCTTTAGCAGCGTGCGACCCCGCTGCAACATCAGGCCGTCTATGAGCTCGCCGAGGGAATGTAGGCTTCGAGGCCGCTGAGTCCTGCTGCCTGTACGCGTGCCTGAAACACAAGAAGATGTATACGTAGCGGAACATGATTGACATGCCAGAACCGTCCCATGGCATGCCATGCGCACCTCATACTCTTTTGTATAGCGTCCCGCTGCTGTGCTGTGGCACCCGCGCCATGATATTGTGCACCTAGATAACTTTGCATGTGTGCTGATGCGACCTGGTAGACAACGAACAGGATCGGTGAACGAGCGAGACTCGCCAAAAGCGCCAGGCCCAACAAACAGTGGCACTGTAACCTGCTTGTCCACATTCAAAGCGCCACCAGCCAATGCAAGGTGACGGGGGAGACTTGCAGTAGCTGAGCAGACTTGATCAGCCATACGTTGCGCGGTGGGTGCGACGACTTTATGGGCAACATCATCAAGATATACAGTGGTCGATAAACCGATAGCTTGCTCCGTAATACCATTCATCGGGCTAATGCACATAAGGTCTCGCCCACCAAGAGTAGCTTGCCTTTCCAAAAGCCACGGGGCGAGGACACTGCGATCGAAGCTGCAAATGTACTTGACGGGGGCAGATTGGCGACCCTGGGGCACCCCCTCATGAACCTGAAAGTGGCCCACCCCATCTGAACAGTCCCATGTAATAACACTCTGGCGGTTGCTATGATGACCGAAGTAAGTATCGCCTGGATGCATATGTAGATAGCCAGTATCGTCGAGAATGTCGGCAGCAATGCGTCCAAAGGCATTGGCCTGGTCAAAAAACAGCGCGCAGTGAGACTTATGCAAACGTGAAAGGCGCCAACCCGCAATGAGCTGAATCTCAATAGCTGCTTCGCGGCGCCTGTGGTGGACCCCTCCGTGGAGGTGATCAGCAAGGCATCGTTCAGGATAGCAAGTATCGCCTCGATAGCCGAGGTATCTACTGCAGGCCTTGCTGAAGGGACACGTGCGATGCACTAGACGGACAGAGCGTAGCCCAGGAGACGTAGCTGTAGGCTTTGGTATACTGCAGCCCCAAGACCGATGCCAGTTCTGTGGTAGACGGGCCCTGCCTCGAACATCCAAACAAAAAAAACCAAGAACACGACGCGATAACCATTCCATGTTGGGGATTGTTTGGGTAAGCGCATCTTGTTCATCTGTCTATCTGGGATGCCAGTGTGTGGGGGGCAGCCCCGCCAGAAAAATCTCCATGGGTAAGCTCCACGGGGGTGCACTTTCGGTAAGCCATTTTCCGAAGCGCCAGACAGATGCCCCTGGAGCCCCTCTCCGCCTCCTCCTTGAAACCTGGCATATAGAACCTGTAACTCACCCCGTCCTCCATTCGATCATCAGGCATATTGCTGGGTCCACTTGCGTTGCGGATTGGCCTCCGAGAGGCCCACGCTGTGCAAGAAAATCGGCCCCCATCTGAACAGTCGGGCGCATGCTGAGCGGCTGATTGAAGAAGCGTCGGCCTGGCCCCACGGCCGCGCATGCTAGTCGACGGCGCAGACGGTGGATGAGGGCCCAACGCGACGCTTTCCAAGCGTCCCAAATCTGGTCGGCTAGCGACTCCACGCGAGACTGACGATATGCATCTCGCTCTTTTTCTTATCCGGCGCGTGACCGCGAACAATCTAGCCTGGACATGGGTGGGTGCTGGAAAATACACACAGTCACACAGTCAGCGATAAAAACGGCAGGAATATCAGCAAGCTTGTCTCGAAGTTCAAATCGATGGCGAAGGGGGGCGCGCTGGGCCTCGCGAGCACGGGCGTGTTCAGCATCTTCTTCTGTATATCTGGCGAAATATCCCAGGGCGACGCCGCGAATGTCCCCCGCGAACTGCTCCCAGGCCCGACCAGGAATTGCCTTCCCCTCGAGTTGGTGCCAGGCGGGGAACGTGCGAAAGCACATGTCGTCAACCTCGCGGAGATACCTAGCTCGCCAGAGTCCGTCAACAACTCCAGCGGCCATTCGATCGTCATCCCAAGACTCAGCTTTGGTGTAGGGCGCCGCGGGGAAGCTGAGGAGGTACCTTACCGAGACCTGGAGGGGCCAGTGATCCCATCGTCGGACCGCGGGGACCATCTGGAGCCTTCTACCGAACTTCTGGAGGACCCTGCACTGCGTAGCCGATGAGAGCCAGGTACGAGGGGCCCCTATGTAGTCTACACGAGTGCTGCTCTGCCTCCCGAAGAACGTGTCCTCCCCACCTATGAACGTGTTGATAAGACATAGTCCAAACTGCTCGAGATAGGTGCGCACTGTTTTCATACAGTAATGTTCAGGTCGTGGAAAAAGGTTGCCTATCGGGCCGAATTCGTCTGATATATGTTCAGCTGGAGGCACGCCTGCATGGTCGTGCAGGTCGCCTCCGAAGATAATCGAGCGTCTGGCGGGTTGTTCACTAGAAATGTCTGTCATCCACTGAAGTAGCGCATCCACACTCTTTTGATAGAGGCTTCTTTGTTTAGCTGTCGACGGCCGAAGGGGAAGTAAACAACGATGGCCAAGATGTGAAACCGACCCGGTCGAAGGAGCACGGCGCCTCCTCGTCCTTGTAGAGCGGCTGGTGGTGAATATGCTGCAACGATGTGGCGCATCCTGAAGAGATCCTTTCGAAGTCTTGTTTGAACTCCTGCATGGGCATTCGAAAAAGCACCGCGACTGTACCCCCAACTGAGAATGTGGAGATCTGGATCGACGATGCTGGTGCAACAACGGTCTGTCGCTTTCATCCGAAGTCTGGTGCCCGTCAGGAAGACGATATCCTTACGAACGTACGCAAGAGAAACCTCCGTATGTCGGCGTGGCTGGACAAGAGAACGCACATTATGCGTGACAAGATTAAGGTTGCGATGCTCCACCATCCCGCTATCCTTTCCGCGCGTGGGGGCGAGGGGCTCCACAAGAACAAGAGGGAGACATGGCGCAGAGAGTGAAAGTATGGTAAGGAAAGGTGAGGCGTGTATATATGGCATCGCGCGCGGAGCTGGACGCCTGGAGGAGGAGGAGGAGGAGGAGGAGGAGGAGGAGGAGGAGGAGGAGGAGGAGGAGGAGGAGGAGGAGAGAGGAGGAGGGAGGAGGAGGACGGGTCGCCCAGCCCATAGGAGGAACCCTCCACACGCCTGGCTTAACCCCAGAACCAGCGCCTCTTCCTCGCTCTCGGACGCCCCTCCTCCCCGTGCGCGCCTCGGCCTCGTGCGCGCGCCCTTCCCCCCCCCCCGACGGCCCAAGAGTCCGGTCGGGCGCGTCCCTCTGCAAGGGGAACACTCAAAGATAGTGAAACAAAAAGTCTGGGAACTATGTTTGACAATCGTGGTATCTGTTTGGGATATGTCTTTTTTCTCGTCCAAAATCCGCCCGTCGGGGGACACGCCCGGCCGAACCAAAGAGGCTCCTCGACGCCCACGCCGAGAGAGCATTGCACTGCACACGTCGGAGCGATGCCAAGATGCTGGGCCTCCTCGGGCCCCCAGCTGACGGGTCCAGACCCGAGCCTGCCTCCCCGAGATCTTCGCCCCCCCCCTGGAAGAAGAACAACAGGCACAGACGCAAAAGGTTTAGCGCTCCGCACGGATTTTCTGGATTTGCGTTGGACCAGCCCCCTCGGCGCGGCGCCGGAGGCGCCACCGGGGGAGTCCGCAGAGCGCGGACCCAAGAAATCCGCCTGTGAAGCGCCGGAATAAGCTTCTGCTTGTGCCGTTTGCCCCCCCTTTGATCCTCCTCGAGCCCCCTGCGCCGTCCCCCCTGGCGCGCCGAAGAGGAGGAGGAGGAGGAGGAGGAGGAAGAGGAGGAGGAGGAGGAGGAGGAGGGGGAGGAGGAGGAGGAGGAGGAGGAGGAGGAGGAGGAGGAGGAGGAGGAGCCCCCCAGCGCGCCGAGCTCGGCCCGGAGCACCCCTGGCCCATGGTGCTGCTGCAGGACCGGCGGCCCCGCCGAGGGCCCCGAGGTGCTGCTCCAGGGCGCCCCTTGGGGCAGCTGGCGCGCGCGCGAGCGGGCGCGGGCCGCCGTCGGCCCCCGCGAGGCCCGCGAGGCCCGCGCCGGCACGTCTAGGGCGGGGCAGGCGTCGTCGGCGCGCCGAGCGGTGTCCTCGCACTCGGGGGCGGCCAAGAGGGGGGCGTCCAAGAGGAGGGGGGGGAGGGGGGGGGGGGGGCAAATCATGGCCGTCGGCATCTGCGCGGCCCTTGGGGGGGCCAGGGACGCAATGAAATGAGAAGAGGCGCCCTGAAATCTGGGGCAATAGTGGAGGCACGCGATTCAACCAAACTTTCTGGGGCGGACGCTTGAAACGTAGCCTCGCGGGCCTTCGCGCCGCCGCAGTAGCGGAGGGGCCGAACAGGCAGACGGAGGGCGGACAATCCCGGGTTCTTTGGGGGCCTGGGGGGGGAGCGCGGGCTGACAATTCAGGGCGGGGGGGCGGAGCAGGCAGACGGAGGGCGGACAATCCCGGGTTCTCTGGGGGCCTGGGGAGGGAAAGCGGGCTGACAATTCAAGGCGGGGCGGCGGAACAGGCAAACGGAGGGCGGGCAATCCCGGATTCTCTGGAGGCCCGGGGCGGTGCGACGGCTGACGAGTCAGGGCGGGGGGGCAGAGGGTCAACTCAGTGCCAGGGAAGGACGAGCTGGGAAGGACTTTGCGGGCTGGCGATTCGAATTCGCAGGGGCGACCAATTCGAGGCCGCGGGAATTGCTTTTGGCCAGCCCTGAATGCGATGTAGAAACTTCTGACCCGCCAGCCCTGCGCGGAAAGCAGACATTCTGCGCCGCCTCCAGACAGCGACATCGCCCCCCAGGTATTCCTATTCTCGCCCTCCTCATCATCTTCATCCTCGTTCCCCTCGCTCTTCCATCCCTTTTTTCACATTCCCCCTGCAAGCTGATGCTCCTCGACAATCTTCCAAACACGATTCCCACCCCTCCATTGATGCACTCCAGATGCACGGTCGAGGAGGAAAGGGGAGAACGAGGGCGGGGAGGGCAGGGGGCAAGAGAAGCATGGAGGGAGGGAGAAGGAGCGCGGCACGGAGGAGCGAGCACAACAGGTGTCCCGAAGCGCTTCCGGAGCATCTGCCGCAACTGTTATACGTCGTTCGTATGCCCGTTCAGTGCGTATCCATGCCGACAATGTAAGGGGCGGTATCTCGAAATATTTTGGGGAGTCGAGCATTCGTGCATGTGTTCGTGCGACTTGATTCTTCATATGCATGTCCGACCAGGATTGTTCTTTCTTGGAAGAACGGAGACTTGTTGTACGATTTGTTCTCGGATTGCGTCATGCGGGTTTCGGTGACAGGTCACGCGGTTTTTCGGTCACAAGCAACCGCCGTCCGCGAGGGTGACAGCTGGGCTGTCCGCGAGGAGGCGGAGGAGGAGGAGGAGGAGGAGGAGGAGGAGGACGACGACGACGACAGCTGGGCCGTCCGCGCCGCCGTTCTGCTTGGCGGGCGGGCTCCGCCGGCGCTGGTGCGAGCGCTGCTGCTGCTGCAGCTGCTGCTGCTCCTGCTCCAATTGTTGTTCGTGCTGTTGCTGCTGTTCCTGTTGTTGCTGCTGTTCTTGTTGTTGCTGCTGTTGTTCTGCTGCTCTTGCTGTTGTTCATGCTCCTGTTATTGTTGCTGCTGTTCTTGTTGCTGCTGCTGTCGTTGCTCCTGCTCCTGCTGCTGCTGTTTCTCTTGCTGCTGCTGCTGCTCTTGCTGTTGCTGCTGGCGCTGCCGCCGCCGCTGCTGCTGCCGCCGCTGCTCCTGCTGCTGCGGGGCCCTGGTCTCGCCTTGCGTCTCCCTGGGGCTGTCCTCCTCCTCCCCCTCGTCGCTCCCTCCCCCTCCTCCTCCTCCTCTCCTCCTCCTCCTCTCACCTCCTCCTCCTCCTCCTCGCTCCTCCCCTCTCCTCCTCCTCCTCCTCCTCCTCCTCCTCTCCTCCTCCTCCTCCTCCTCCCTCCTCCTCCCCTCCTCCTCTCCTCCTCTCCTCCTCCTCCTCCTCCTCCTCCTCCTCCTCCTCCTCCTCCTCCTCCTCCTCCTATCTCATCATCATTCCATCATCATCATCATCATCATCATCATCATCATCATCATCATCATCATCATCATCATGATCCTTCTCTTTCACCTCCTCCTCCTCCTCCTCCCTCCGCTCACTCCTTCCCTCCCCTCTCCTCCTCCTCCTCCCTCCTCTTTCTCCTCCCCTCCTCCTCTTCTCCTTCCTCCTCGTCCTGCTTCGGCTCCTCCTCCTCCTCCTCTCCTCCTCCTCCTCCCTCCTCCTCCTCCTCCTCCTCCCCCTCCTCCTCCTCTCCTCCTCCTCTCTCCATCCTATCCGAGGGCGGAGTCCATGGCGGAGCCCCTATCTCCTCCTCCTCCTCCTCCTCCTCTCCTCCTCTCCTCGCTCTCCTCCTCCCTCCTCCTCCTCCTCCTCCTCCTCCCTCTCCTCATTCCCCTTTGTTTGTTCCCTCCTCGTGCTCGTACCCGTACCCAGAATTGCAGGTCTCAGGGCGCAGGGCCGTGGGCTCTGAGCTCAGAGATCCAAATTCCGAAGTCCGGCTTCTGGTGCATATTTGGATTTAGAATTCAAAATTCCGGACTTGGGCTTCAGAGTGCAAATTTCAGGATTCAACCTCAAAATTCTGTTTTGGGGCTCGGGTTCAGAGCTCAGGGCTCGGGCCCAAGATGCCTCCAAGACGGCCTCAGATAGTTCAAGACGGCCCAAGAGGCCCCCAAGAGACTCCCAAGACGCCTCCAAGAGGTCCTCAAGGAGAGCCCGCAGAAGCCCAAATCATTGATTTTCCTTAGGTATGTAAAGGATTGGGGCATTTGCTTCTTTTCGGCATTCCGACGGCTCAAGACGGCCCAAGAGGCCCCCAAGATCGCCCACTAGGCCTCCAAGACGGCCCCATGACGGCCCAAGAGGCCCCCAAGACGGCCCCAAGAGGGCCCCAAGAAGGCCCAGGAGGCCTCCAAGACGCCCAAGATGGCCCCCAAGACAGCTAAGCTGGCCCCAAGATGCCTCCAACACGGCCCAAGATGCACCCAAGACGGGACCTGAGATGGTCTCCAGATGGCCTAAGACGGCCCAAGAGGCCAGGCCTCCAATACGGCCCAAGAGGCCTCTAAGAGACCCTCCAGGAGGGCCCGAAGAAGCCCAAATCATTGATTTTCCCTGGGTGCTTGAAGGACTTTGGCATGTGCTTCTTTTCGGCATTCCGACGGCTCAAAACGGCCCCATGACGGCCCAAGAGGCCACCAAGACGGCAACAAGAGGGCCCAAGGGGCCCCCAAGACCGCCAGCGCCGGCGCCAGCGCTGGCGGCCACCAGCAGCGCCCACGGCGGGGACGCAGCGACGATGACCAGAGGCAGTTCGGGGAGGGGGGTTCAACCCCCCCCCCTCCCCCCCCTCCCTCGCGGTGGCGCCGGGGGGGGGGCTTTCAACCCCCCCCCCTCGCGCCGGCGCCGGCAGAACGCAGCGACGATTACCACCACTACCACCACCACCACCACTACCACCACCACCACCGCCTCAACCTACGACCACCACCAACAGCACCAAACAACCACCACCACCACCAACCACCGCCACAGTCACCACCACCACAACCACCACCACAACTCACCATCACCACCACCACCACAAAAACCCGACACCACTACCACCACCACCACC